ATGATCATCCAACCCTTGATCCCATTCTGCATCTGCTTTGCTTTACCAAAACTGCATTTAACGTGAACATGAATGTATTTTTGTCTTTTCTGCATTACCACGTTTTGCTTACCAAAACTGCACATGTCCGTGACTAATTTTAGACTTTAACCATTGTTTTAGTCGGGAAAACCATTATTTTCAGTAACTGTTATGTTTCTTCACGTGTTAGCCGACGCGTGCGCCTGACCTCTATGCATGTCACTTGTCACGATCGTTCAGTCTCAATCACGTTATGGCACACGCCTTTTTCAGCGATGCGCTGTGACGTAGACAGAAAACAATATGTCTCTCCAGTCACGTAGATCTTGTGTCTGAAGCTTATGTTTTAGCACTAACATGGTTTTAAGGACAGTTTTACCTACCTAGGTAACTATAAATAAGTTGGGAGTAGGTAAAAAGTTGATTCAGTCGCTCACAGCTCCTTTCGTATGGAATTTATGTAGCTGAAAATATAATGATGTTGATGCAAGTGAGTTCCTGAATAGTATATCTAATGCTAGAAAAGTTTCCTTCTGACCTATGGCTATATGACACAAGTGACAGTCCTCTTTGGAATGAAACCAGATGTGGAACGCCCACTCAAGGTGCTTTTTGGCATATACCAGCTGGATTTTGGCATATAAGTATCCACTGTCTGCTTCTTAGTTGAGGCTTGCCACCGGACCTGGTGTGACGATCACGACCACTCTAGCAAGAGTGTATATAGCGACGAAGAAGAAGAAGTCTGCTTCTTAAGTAGGTACTTATGGTTTATGGCACACGTGACAGGTCCTGACATACCTATGTCATGCAGTTCTACGTCCAGACTGCCAAGAGAGGACTTCCAAAATGACGTACCTACCTACTAACTAAACAAACATCTTTGTCCTCTATTTCCCCTGAATCCTTGAGTATACTTTCCACTACGACATCATCACATGACCGTTTCCTTTGACGTTCTTGAACAAACCAACCCAAAAAAGACGTCATTCTCCAACTAATCAACAACAAAATCATCCATCTACCCTTCAGACAACTAACTGAAGGCGTGTCTAAGACACAAAGCCTCTCATTGGTGGTTTCCTTCCAGTCTTACCATCGATAAGATACCTTATCTTATGCTAATATTTTGAATTCCATGGTGATCTGTCTGATAAGATATAACTTTCTTTCTTGTCATTCAAACAGACTGGCTCCTACGTAGTTCTTTCTCTGGAATATTTTACATTATCTTATTTCTCGATAGATTTTATGGGTGTTTTAAGTGACTTTACTAACTTAAACGACTTAATTGCAAATAAATGATTTCTTTCTTTCTTTCTTTTCAGCCAAATGACGTCCACTGCTGGATTGGAAATAATAAATAAATGATTATGATATGATAATTATGATTATGATTATGACTAAATATTATTAAAGCCTATTATGTTTAAAAATTCTTCCTATTCCAGATACCACAATGCTAAAGGACTTAGCATCCCTCATTGTAAAGCACACGGTCCCCTCCCGGCGCCACCTGACTCCAGAGCTGCTCCTCCGCCTGGTGACTCCTGAGTGTCCCCTCTGGCGGGCGAAAGACGNTAGTATACATTGTAAGTTTTATAGAAAACTAGCTGACCCGGCGAACTTTGTTCCGCCTTAATGGCAATAAATAAGCAGACTTTTTTTTAATTTCGAACGGGACAAAAAGTATCCTATGTCCTTCTCCTGGCTCTAAACTACCTCCCTGACAATTTTCAGCTAAATCGGTTCAGCCGTTCTTGAGTTATAAGTGGAGTAACTAACACGACTTTCTTTTATATATATAGATATTCATTATATCAAACCATTTTATATCAGTTAATAGTTATTTCTCTTAAAATTATTCGTTTTAAAATTATATTCTTCGTTTATTATAGTAAATAATTATTATATTAAACGATTTTATATAATTTGATGTTATATCCTCTAAGTATTATATGATATGTAGTTATATCATACATTACACACCCTTTTACTAAGAAATGTTGTTATTTTCACCGGTACTCCAGCCGCAATCAGTTGTTATACTGCCATTTTCAAAATAAATTGGCGGATTTTGCTTAAATATCATTGGGAGGCAGTCAAAAGTGTGCTTTCTATGGTACAGTGTTGACATATTAAGAAATCGATTTTATACTCTTATTTTATTGAATCAAAAAATAAAGTGTCGGTCATTGGTTCTTGTCGGTCATTGGTGCCACTACGTTAAATACCTACTGTTGTCCTATCGGCTGATTTAAATAGGCAAATACTCTAACGGGTAGTTGTAGGTTATTGGTGGTCAGTGGTTGGGGCTGAAAAGAAGCAGGGTGAGAAACTTTAGTCATCTTTATCAGCCTCTGTTTCAAGGGTTTACAATAAATTATGAATATTGACGCGAGCTTGTTCCTCCGTATACTAGTAAAACAGGGACTAAGGGCTTTTGAAAGAGGATTGTTTGAACTTCCAAGCCCCTGGACCTAAAATCAATGATCATGCAACCCTTGATCCCATTCTGCATCTGCTTTGCTTCCCAAAACTGCATAAACGTGTCCGTGACTAATTTTAGACTTTAACCATTGTTTTAGTCGGGAAAACCATTATTTTCAGTAACTGTTATGTTTCTTCTCGTGTTAGCCGACGCGTGCGCCTGGCCTCTATGCATGTCACTTGTCACGATCGTTCAGTCTCAATCACGTTATGGCCAGCGTTATGGCACACGCCTTTTTTCAGCGATGCGCTGTGACGTAGACAGAAAACAATATATGTCTCTCCAGTCACGTAGATCTTGTAGTGTCTGAAGCTTATATTTTTAGCACTAATATGGTTTTACACTTTTTTATAATCTGTCGTTTTACGGACAGTTATACCTACCTCATATAATATGTCGTGCAGGGGAAGGTTGAGGGCACAAGAGCGCGCGGCAGGTCGCCCATGCGCTGGACTGACCAGGTCAAAACCGCACTCAATGGTCCACTCCACGAGTGCACAAGAAAGGCTGCAGTGCGGGAGGAATGGCGACGGATTGTGAGGCTTGCCACCAAACCAGGTGTGACGACGACCACGGGCACTCTGCCAAGAGTGTAGCGACGAAGAAGAATACCTACCTAACTATTTAAATAAGTTGGGAGTAAGGTAAAAAGTTGATTCAGTCGCTCGCTGCACCTTTCGTATGGAATTTATGTAGCTGAAATAATGATGTTGACGTAATTGAGTTCCTGAATAGCATATCTAATGCTAGAAAAGTTTCCTGCTGATCTATGGCTATATGACACAAGTGAAAGTCCTCTTTGGAATGAAATCAGATGTGGAACGCGTGCATTTTGGCATACACCAGCAGGATTTTGGCATATAAGTATCCACTGTCTGCTTCTTACTTGAGGCTTGCCACCGGACCTGGTGTGACGATCACGACTACTCTAGCAAGAGTGTAGCGACGAAGAAGTAGAAGTCTGCTTCTTAAGTAGGTATACTTCTGGTTTATGGCACACGTAACAGTTTCTGGCAAGTTCTACGTCCTGAGTTCCTGACTGCCATGGGAGGACTTCTAAAATGATGTACTAGCTAAACAAACAGCTTTGTCCTCTATTTCCCCTGACTCTTTGAGTATACTTTCCACTACGACATCATCACATGACCGTTTCCTTTGACGTTCTTTATAAACCAACCCAAAAAGACGTCATTTTTCAACTAATCAATAATAAAGTCATCCATCTACCCTTCAGACAACTAAATGAAGGCGTGTCTAAGACACAAAGCCTCTCATTGGTGGTTTCCTTCCAGTCTTACCATCGATAAGATACTTTATCTTATGCTAATATTTTGAATTCCATGGTGATCTGTCTGATAAGATATAACTTTCTTTCTTGTCATTCAAACAGACTGGCTCCTACGTAGTTTTTTCTTCTGGAATATTTTCACATTATCCTATTTCTAAATAGATTTTATGGATGTTTTAAGTGACTTTACTAACTTAAACGACTACGATGGTGGCTTTATTATTATAATTATGGATTTAATTCGTCCATTAGATCCAACATGTGCGGGACTAATGCCACCCCACACCTGCATCTCCGGTATACACGGTGGAAACGATAAGTTCACTCGATCATTTCTAAACTATACAGGATATCGAAAAGCTTACTGATCCTGAAAGTTCTTCACGAGCTCTATCAAACGGTATTAATCTTCTTTTGTACATCTACACACAACCTATACGCTCACACTCATCATACACACGACACACACATTCACACATCAGTCTTCTCTGTTAAGTTATTAGGTAAACGCCATTCGTTCCGGGGGTGAGGCCCGTAGCACAGGTTTCTTTTTTGAAACCTATTTCAGGCACCAGTCCCTCGCACTTGAGGTTAGAAATCCTTGGCTTAATTTATATTGTATTGTGTACCTGAATTGTGAAGGGTAATAAATATTTTTTGATTTGATTTGATTTGAGTTACCGTTACCGTTTGATAGAGCTCGTGAAGAACTTTCGTTATCGTTTCCACCCTGTAGACAGGATCTAAAGCTTGACCTCCAATGAAACCCAAGGTTGAGCAGTCTCGGGGGATAGCTAACTGGTCATCGTGTAGGCAATGGAGACTAAATATCCTGATGATGATGATGATATCGACTTTATTTAGGGCTGATTTTTCAATCGTCGGATAACTTTTAACTGGCAATATTGACAGTTTCAGTATGGGAAATATGTCAAAATGAGAAGGTTCTTCAGTTAAAAGATATCTGACGATTGAAAAATCAGCCCTTAGATGAGTAAGGGTAGATTCGACCAAACAAGAGTAAATAAATCTCAGAATAAATCGTCAGTTTTGACATATTATTTCCCATAACTACTGAAACTGTCAATGTGTCTGTTATACCAGGAGTTATTCTTGGATAAAAGTTGGGTTGAATCGGGCAGGCAGGTCGAAAAAACCAAAAAACCTATTATTGTCTTACAACAAATATTTCTATTCCAGATCCCACAATGCTAAAGGACTTAGCATCGCTCATCGTAAAGCACACGGTCCCCTCCCGGCGCCACCTGACTCCAGAGCTGCTCCTCCGCCTGGTGACTCCTGAGTGTCCCCTCTGGCGGGCGAAAGAGGACGAGATCCCCTTCAAGGATCCCTTTTGGGCCTTCTATTGGCCAGGGGGACAGGCCACTGCAAGGTGAGATTCATCATCAACAGCCCTTTACAGTCCACTGCTGGACTATGAGCCTCCTCCACTATAGTGGAGGGTTTTGCCATAATCCCCACGCTTGGCAGGCGGGTTGGAGATCGCAGTTTAAAAGATTGATGTTTGTCAGAGAGCGCTGCTACCCGTTCTCTGTTTGATGTGTAGTCCCTAAGTCGCCTCTTACGACACCCGCGGGAAGAGTAGGGGTTGGTGACAAATGTATTCTACTCTGCCGTCACCACATGGCATCGTGAGATTTGGTTACATTTATTATGGGGTTGGGATTATGGGATAACTAGCTTTTGCCCGCGGCTTCACCCGCGTGAAATTTCGTTTGTCACAGATCGTCATAAATTATAGCCTATATGTTATTCTGGGTTATAAACAAAATGCGTGAAAGAGTAACAAACATCCAGACATCCACACAAACATTCGCATTTATAATATTAGTTAGATACTTTCTGGCTTTGTGGTATATTTTGTTAATGCATCTTTGAAGTACCCTTGAAGTTTTCACTACCTTGGGATAGTTTTAGCTTTTACTTACTTTTTATTTTAGTATTTCTGTTAGCGATTAAGAGAAACTTTGTGTCAAAATGGCGTAATGCTAAACAAAGGCCTTTCCCACGGATTTCCACAATGAGCGGTCCTGCGCTACCCGCATCTAGGTACTTTTCGCGATCTTCATCAGATCGTCGGTTCACCAAGTGGGAGACCTGTCTACATTTTTCATTCCATTTGGTGCCGGTAGAGTAAAATAGGACCACTTTCCGTCCCTTAGATGTTGCAAAATGCGACTTAGGTTACCCCTAGAGACAAATTATTCGAACAATCACATCAAGCTATTCAGGTTAGGTTAGGTTTCCCTAAGGTTGCGGGAAGCATCTGGATCCTAAATAGAGTTGCCGAAGCAGCCATGGCCCGATGTGTTCACGCGCACCGTTAGCGAAGAACAGGGGAGGTACTACCTGGTATTACTCCCCTGAAGCACATAAAGCCAGTCGTCGCTTGCTTAAACGGAGCGAGCCACAGTCTGGGGCGGAGCCGCAAAAATGTCTAGGCCGTCCAGCTCGGACAATGACTCGCAGTTCCGTCCCAAAGACTTCGGGAGGACACCGTCAGGTTTTAGTGAGCGCCCTGCCCATATGGCAGGGAGAGCCTCACATAACCCACTAGTTCCCCCGGGCCAGTGGGTATGAAATTTCATGCATTTACTGACGAAAAAAAGCACCTGGATCCTGAATGCGTTGCCCAGGACTGATCGTTGTGAAAGCCTTTGTCTATTGATAAAAGGATTTACCTATTTAGATGAAGGTTTATTAACAGTCGGGAAAACCATGTCCATATTCAGGAGTTTGAATTTGTTTACACACAACATAAGGTAGTTAAGGAAAATAGTTTAGTTGGGTTTGTTTTATTATTTGCGGAAGTATAGTATTATTCTAAAATAACTATCCTCGATGTTGTTATAAATATTCATGCATGAGGAAAACGTCTGGATCGCAAACAGTAGCGAAATACGAGGAATGGAGTATCCATTGCGAATTAGAAACATAATTAATATTTAATTTGTATGGGAGGAAAATAAGTCGTGGTGTAGGGGTTACTTTTAAGCTGGAGCCTTATCAAGAAGATTTCATGTTTGTTTGAATAATGTTTAATGTTTACTATAAGAACAGCCGCTACCAATCGATCAACGTGGAAAGCATTAGGGGAGGCCTATGTTCAGCAGTGGACGTCCTATGGCTGACATGATGATGATGATGATGATGATAAGAACAGTGGTGAAAGCGAGAAATAGATGCAAGTCAGTTCCACACATAGTTAAAACAAATTCTACTGTCTGTTCTGAAATTTCTGAATAAATATAATCATCATCACAATGAGTTAGATTAGATCTCTACGTGAAAATTCAGCTTTTGCTTTAAAGTTTAACTTCCCCGGGACAAACTTGGCCTCCACTGGTTGGGTTTTTATTGGCGGACAAGCTGTAGATCCTGGCTACACAGGAGTTGCAGCGGTGGGAAAAAAAACTAACTAGGCAGAACCTGCCTTGGCATTATCCTACGTCTTTATCAAAAAATTAAGTCCAAAAAAGGCAAAAGAAAAGACAGAAAGGCATTAAGTCCGCCTTATGTACACTGTTCTAATATGTGCATATAGGTTTAAAATAAATAAATAAAAACTGTTGCTCTATTTTGAATTTTGCATTCAATAATTTGTCTCACTTATGTCAACAAAATACGGTGTACGAAAATTATACCAACACAAGTTTGGTGAGTCATTCTTCCACGGCAATATTGACAACCCGAGCCGCGTTTTGAATATTCATCCAACGAAAACCATAGTTAATTTACAAACAATGATGTACAGAGAAATAATATTTTTCGGAGAACTCGTAAATATTTTGGAAAATCCACAATAGGTACCTAATATCCGTTTGCAATTGACATCTTTTTTTTGTGAATGAACACAATGATATTTTCTCGTTTAGTGTATTAAGAATAAGAAATGAGTAAGAATATTTAAAAGGTCAACTGTTTTCAAATTATTATACTTAACTCTTTATTTTGGAAAAACTGATGTCTTTCTTATTCTAATGTTTTTCTCAAAAGCTCACTCGTCACTCGTCAGTCGTCACGCCATAATGTGCGTTGCAGTTTTGTAACATCGCAGAAACGAGTTTTCGCTACGTGAGTCGCAATAATGTAGCGTTGTCATTTTATAAATCTTGTAAATATTTTTTTATAAAAAAGTGTGTAATTAATAGGATACCTAGATACTGCTAATTTGCAAGTACCAACAAAACGTAAACAAATAAAATGGTTGCTTGCTTACTGGTGTGGCGTGTAAATAGCCACACCAGGAATAAAAAATTGCGGGGAAGGAAGGNTTTGTGTCAAATGGCGTACTGCTAAACAAAGGCCTTTCCCAAGGATTTCCACAATGAGCGGTCCTGCGCTACCCGCATCTAGGAAATTTCCGCGATATTCACCAGATCGTCGGTTCACCAAGTGGAAGACCTGCCTACACTTTTCATTCCATTTCGTTCCTTTCGGTAGAATAAAATAGGACCACTTCCCGTCTATTCTTAGATGTTGCAAAATGCGACTTAGGTTATCCCTAGGGACAAATTATTCGAACATCACATCAAGCGATTCAGTGAAGGTTGCGGGAAGCACCTGGATCCTAAATAGATAGTCGCCGAAACAGCCATGGCCTGATGTCTTCACGCGCACCATTAGCGAAGAACAGGAGAGGTACTACTCCCCTGAAGCACATGAAGCCAGTCGTAGCTTGCTCAAACGGAGCGAGCCACAGTCTGGGGCGGAGCCGCAAAAATTTCTAGGCCGTCCAGCTTAGACAATGATTCGCAGTTCCGTCCCAAAGACTTTGGGAGGACACCGTCAGGTTTTAGTGAGTAGGCCCTGCCCATCTGGCAGGGAGAGCCTCACATAACCCACTAGTTTCCCCGGGCCAGTGGGTATGCAATTTCATGCATTTACTGACGAAAAAAAAAGCACCTGGATCCCGAATGCGTTGCCCAGGACTGATCGTTGTGAAAGCCTTTGTCTATTGATAAAAGGATTTACCTATTTAGATGAAGGTTTATTAACAGTCGGGAAAACCATGTCCATATTCAGGAGTTTGAATTTGTTTACACACAACATAAGGTAGTTAAGGAAAATAGTTTAGTTGGGTTTGTTGTATTATTTGCGGAAGTATAGAATTATTCTAAAATAACTATCCTCGATGTTGTTATAAATATTCATGCATGAGGAAAACGTCTGGGTCGCAAACAGTAGCGAAATACGAGGAATGGAGTATCCATTGCGAATTAGAAACAGAATTAATATTTAATTTGTATGGGAGGAAAATAAGACAAGCGGTGTATGGGTTAAAAACTCTTGAAAAAACTCTTTATTTTTGCAAATACATAGGCTTTTAAAAATCACTTTTACACGTACCAGTATTAACCCTACCACTGCTTCGGGACAATAAATGGGCCAGTGCTGAGAAGAAGCAGCGCAAGAAACTTACTAGCAGGTTACAGCTGGTATCAAATGAAAGTGAGAAATAAAATCAACTGTTAGTTGTTAGATTCAAAGTTGCTCCATCTATTTAACCTAAATGTATGGAATAGCTCTCTTGAAAATAGGACATTTTGGTAAAACTCCTGTAAGAACCAATGACCATTGCCCGATTTATTGTTTTAATTTAGCATTTCGAGTAGAAACTTTATTTTTGGCCAGTTGATGACTAAAACCAGATAGGTAATTCTCATGAAACCAACTACGAGATTCCAGCACTTCAACAAAAAACAGGTGCTCTTCTAGCTTCGAATTTTGCATCTTGTAAAATAATTTGTCTCAAACTGCACAATAGAGCTTATTATGTCAACAAAATAAAATAAGGTGTACGAAAATTATAATACCAACATAACACAAGCTTTGGTGAGTCATTCTTCTGTGGCAATATTGACAACCCGAGCCGCGTTTTGAATATTCATCGAACGAAAACCATAGTTAATTCACAAACAATGCATGAGACGTTGAAATAATATTTTTCGGAGAACTCGTAAATATTTTGGAAAATCCACAATACCTAATATCCGTTTGCAATTGACATCTTTTTTTTTGTGAATGAACACAATGAATATTTTCTCGTTTAGTGTATTAAGAATAAGAAATGAGTAAGAATATTTAAAATGTCAACTGTTTTCAAATTATTATAACTATTTATTTTGGAAAAACTGACGTCTTTCTTACTCTAATGTTTTTCTCAAAAGCTCACTCGTCACGCCCATAACGTGCGTTGCAGTTTTGTAACATCGCGTCGCAGTAAAGAGAACGTGCGTCGCAATAATGTAGCATTATCATTTTAGAAAATATTGTAAAAAAAATATATTGAATTATTAGATACACAAAAGGGTGTACTAGGTAAGTATACCGCTACTGCTAATTTCCAAGTACCAACAAAAACCATAACCCTCCTTCTGGCGCAGTCGGGTAATAAAATGGTTGCTTGCCATTACATAATCTAAAAATCTTTTCTACTACAAGTTGTTCGAATTAAAAACTTTTTTTTTTATTTCCCGCTGCTATAACAACCCAAAAACTGCCACGGATTATAAATACGTCTCATAATCGTAAACTACTTTGAAATTCTGGCCATATCACGTGAAAGCAGGATAAAACACATTCCTTTGCATACTCTAAAAAGGGACAGGTAGAGTCCTTGCTACCGTACCTTATCAACAAAAGAGAGGGCATTCAAACGGCTAGGGAGAGACAAGGATAGCAATGTCTGAGTCACTCAGGAATGTTTCAGGGGATGCCTGCAGTGTGAGTCATCGATTTCGGAGAAATACAACCTACTTTCTTCTAAGGATGTTTAGTTGAATTGAATGAGACTTTTGGGATCACCCAGGAAAACAAGGATGACTCAGTCTCGCAGTTGTATGGTCAAGGACATAGTGAATAAGCTCTCACAAAGCTATTTAACTTAATTTTTACACGGAGACGTAAAGTTAATTTCATGAAAATCCAAGTAGGTAGATAATTCGTTCCTTGTTTTATGATTTTCCTAAGTTTACTGTACCTACTCTACTACGGATATGTTTCGTGGACCCATTGGAATTCATCATTATGTATGTGTATGAAAATTAAAAATATTTCATGAAGCGCCGGTGGGAAAAGAAAAATAATAGAGTCGTGAAGAAAAAACTTATGAACAGTTTTTCCCAAAAACATACGGGAAAACTGAAAGTCCTTTTCGTATGGCTCTACATCATCGGGCACACAATATCATTTGATATTGTCAAAAAACTTTGCAATAATGTTTTGAGTTGAATGGTGCTATTCGATAAATTGAGAAAAAACATTGTTTAAAGTACAACTGCTCTATGTATCATTGGTTACATTAAAGTGGTTGCCTAGTTCATAAATTATTTATTCAATTTCCTTTACTATGATTGATGGGTATTACATTTTTCTAGTAATCCATTAATTTTGTCATAGCATAACAGTTTGTAAATGATTAAGCCAGTAACCACTAGTAGGCTGAGTGTACCGGCCTTGAGCCGTGTCGAGGCCGGGGTGTGAACTTGTGACCCAGAAGACTCAAGGCTACAGGTCCAACGACCTATACAGCCCTACTGTTGTTATTTGATGCAGCAGGTCAGTCGATATTGCAGAAAAAAAACTTTTTAAGATACTGTTTACTTTACTTAGTAGAACGAAAATTGGGAAAAACATTAAAAAAAACTCACTGAAAAGTCCAAATGAAGCCGATTAAAGAAAACTAATTAATATTTTATTTATAAAGTTATCAAGTTTTCATAACTTTAAAAATAAAATTCACAGAAATGTAAAAGTTCTCCGATATGAAATGCGAATAAAAATCACTAATGTTTCCATTTTAAAGTAGAGTAGGAGGGACCTCTACACATTGATTTAATTTTTGCTTTTACAAAGATGCAAATTTGGACAGTGCCAGGGTCTGGACCAAGTGTTGCCCAGAATCAACCCATAGTGCATTTTGTTCCTCAGGCCTATACTAATGTGTAAACCGAAGCACACTGAAATCTATCCCTGGAGTTAAGAGAAAAAAAGAGTTTTGTTTCGAATTATTTACATACAAAATATCATCGATGTATACGTACTACGCATAAGATTTCGCGATTTTGGCATTAAATAACACTCGCTATGTTGAACTTAAGCATACTGCATCCGTACACGTTACTTTAGTGCGATTTAGACATTCTTTAGGAGACGCCAATATCGTAAAAAGCGCAATCAACTGAAACTTCTACGAAAAGGCATAAACTCATTTCACAAAATAAATAAATTCCGATAAAAGCCTAGCCTCCTACAGGCGTTTCTAGAAACCAGACGAATCCAAAATTATTGCAGTTAACTTCTTGTTCCAACTATACATATTTCAGCCATTTTCCACTTCAGTTCTCAGACTTCCACGGTTTCTCTGAAACAAATATGCTGAGTGATCAGACTGGTTTTCCATTTCTAGCGATGCTATAACGAAATTCAGAATGAATTCAAAGTAAAGATACATAGACGTCTTCTTTATTTCATTAAACTGCGATTTCCAACCCGCCTGCCAAGCTTGGGGATTATGCTATGGCAAAACCCTATAGTGAAGGAGGCTCATAGTCTAGCAGTGGACTGTAAAGGGCTGTTGATGATGATGATGATGAACTTATTTTATTGTTTTTGTTTGACTTTGTTTTGTTTGAGTGTGAAACCTGATGCACCTATTAGTTATTGCATAATCCATAATCATCATTGTATTGTATTGTATTACATCACATTACGTAATAAATACATTGATGTCCATTGTCTACCGAATGATTTCGCTTATAAAATTACATCGAATTTTGTAAGTTAATATGTTATTTTTGTAGTTAATAGTAGTTATTTTATTTATTATTCAATTAAATGATGCTTTAAGAGACTGCACTTTAAACCATACAATGTTTCTAAATATGAAAAAACATGGCACACATTACGGTAATTGACCTAACTATTATGTATTTTAGAACTTGCGACCACAGTAACTTTTTCAAACACATCTCTCCGATTTGGTGGAAACCGGGCCTCAGTCCAGACATCCACGAGCACCCACGGATTCTCGGAACCACCCCTACCCTCCTCATCTCCCCAATTTCGGGGAAACCACCCGACCAGCCGTTAAATCTCCCGCAAATATGAATTCTAGGAATTCGGGGTGAAGAGAGTTCGAATGGACTTGTTTATGTACCTATTAATGAATTAGATTAGTTAGTCATACACAAAAGAAATTTTTTTGGGACCGTATCTATTATTCTGTATTTAGTGCCCATTTCATAATACAGACAAAAAAAATCAAGGATTTATTTTGTGATTCATATTGAAATTAAAACTGATTTTAATTTATAAATTCAACCTAGCTGTCGCCAACGACCATACCACGTTGAAAACACCGGTTCTCGTCCGATCACCGAAGTTAAGCAACGTCGGGCGCGGTCAGTACTTGGATGGGTGACCGCCTGGGAACACCGCGTGATGTTGGCTTTTTGCTACTTTTTATAGTAGTTAACTATCATTATCCTTTCAATTTACTTTTAAGTATAGGTATTTATTTTTTTACCCAAATCCTAGTAGGATTTTTTTTTTATATAATTTATTAGGAGAATCTATTCTAGCTTACTGTAATAGTGGTAACATGTAAGTGCTGCTGAAGTGCTGATGCGATTTATAATAAAAAGCAGATTTATTTTATAGAACGCAAAAATATCAGTTTTCAAGCCAACTTAGTTTCAGTTAAGTCTAGTATTAATAAAATATTAACACATGCTTTGATTAGTAGATTTCCATGCCTTCTCAGTAGCCGAGAAAAACCAGTTTAAACAATCAGACGTTGTTCTATTCAGCTCAGAAGGCAGTTCTTAGTATTCGAACAATTAGACTTGTCGATTTCGTTAAATTCGTAACATAGGAAAATTTTCCTATGCAAAGAGGCTGGCAATAGTGAATCAGTTCCATAAAAATGGTAATTTCAGTTAGGTATATTTATCGTTACTAATTAGTGCTAAATTACTTGAAACTAAGAACTTTAAAGTGCATTATAATAATTCTGTACTTTTCATTTTTTCTCATTTCCACATAATAATATCCAGGTCATGCTTTGCGCATAGAATTTAGATTTCTGCTAAATTATGTGCACAAAGTAATAAAATTTAAATGTAATTTTAATGTTTCATTGAAATCAGTTCAGTCATGTTTGGATAAAACACTTGCATATTTTAAACATCAAACTCCCTCTATTGCCATTTAAAAAAATCTCACTTGCACTGTCTTGCAGTTCTCAGTTGGTTTAAAGTGGTAGATAGTAATACTTGTAAATTATAGATGGCGCTATTCAGTGAATTTGTTTGTAAACACTGGTAGTAGATAGTTACTTTTTTGCAGAATAGATGGCGTTATCTTTTCAAAATATTTTGAATTATGGTTTTATTTTTGCAGATATATTTTAGACAATGGCGAATTAGTAAAAGGCCGCCGTGTGCTGGACATAGGCTGTGGATGTGGGGCTGGAACAATTGCAGCTGTCAAAATGGGAGCCAGTCGAGTTGTAGCCAATGATATTGACCCATGTGAGTTTTTGTACTAAAATAATTTGGGTATAGTTCATTCAACTTATGATGGTGATTTAGACAGATAAAACGTTTCGTTTTATGATTCTAACTTTCTACGAATAAAAATATTGAGTTGTAAAAATCAATTACTTTTGTGTGTTTTCATCCTTCCAAAATATCAATCACTAAGTAATCTTTCTCAATTAACCTAAACAAGAATTTCTATTTATTTATTAGTTTATTATTTAGAAAAAATTGTGAAAAAATATTAAATGAATTGTGTAGTGTTTGTATCTACGTACTAGATAGATACAATACGCTGTCTCACGTACACAAGTGATAGGCAGTCACGTGACGTCGTTACGAGTGGGACGAGTCAGTCGTACGTAGAGATGTGCCGCTGAGAAAGTTCTCGTTCCCGGCAATATTCCCAGTGAGAATATTCTCGAGAACCGAGAACGCTCCCGGGAATATTCTCAGTGTTCTCGACAGAATACATTTAGTTTTAATTTTAATTTTGTTGTTTATATGTGATATTTTATTTGTAATGTTTCGATGTTTTATTAACTGGGCGTTAAGACTAGTCGTTATAAACAAGGCATGAAACGTGTGAGTGAGATATTGCTGTCTTGCTCACTCTTTTCGTGGCGAACGCGTACCGCCGCTTTAGGACTCGGCTACGGTATTTGAACATAAGTGTGCCTCTGAGTTTTAAGGCCCTTGCCACCCTGGCGGATTGCAAGCGGATTCAAAGCGGATTCAAAGTGGATTTAAGGCGGAGTGGCAACGCGACGGAGAAGCCGCGTGAAAATATCGTAAAGCTACCCAAAGGCTGCCCAGCCGAGCTGGATTCGATTATTGACCTTTTTTTTCGAAGTTGGACCTACCTAACTGGACTGTTTGTCCCAGGTATACATTATTGTCAACAACCTCGAGTGTAGTCTCTAACTTTTAGAGGAGTGGGTGCAACATGGTCTTTAGACATGATTTTTAAATCTTGTCCATGTTCATTTTGAGACCCACTTGTTGAGAGACTCTATTGAGGCCATCGAGCATTGTGCCTAGATCTTCCACGATCTCAGCCATGACTACGATATCGTCTGCTGTCTGGGTGATGTACTCGCCGTTGATATTTATGCTGAATCCGCTCCAGCCCAGAAGCTTGAAAACATCTTCCAGGGCGGTGGTGATGACGTCTCCCTGTCTCACCCCTCGCTGCAACTGGATGNGCATATATTTAATTCTTTGTGATTTATTTTGTACCACTAAGAATATTCACGTTTATTCCATTTCCAGATAGTTCAAATTCATAGATATAATTTTGATCAAGATTAAAAATCAAACAAATAAAAGGCGATTAGATTTTTAGAGAAAATATTCTCGATTCTAAAAAATATCGATTAGGTTTATAAGGAGCGCCTCACTAAATAGAACTGTCATAATCACCATCTTACGCTGAATGGACTATAGTATTTAACTACAAGTCAAAAAATCATCCTTTTGCCACAGATAATATAAAATACTAGTCTTTTGCATACTAATAAAATCCGAATTCTAAGCAAAAATACTGATTTTAAGTTTATTCATTGGAGATTTCTCTCGAAACTAACAAATTTTTGGCTGAGTTGCACCATCTTACTTTTCCATACAAGAAGCACCGGTTAAAGTTAATGTTACGGTTAAAATTTGATGGTGCAACTCAGCCAAAATGTTGTACAAATAAAATAAATAGTCAACTCCCATGCAACCTCTGTGGATTGAGTGAGTTTACGTCAAACGTTCTTACTAGTGAGCACGTTAAAAAAATGTAAAATATGCGTTATGAAAATTTCAGTTAATAAAAAACAAACGACAAAAAAAAAGCAAAAAGAAGAAACTTCAACTTAATGTGGAGATGCCGGGGATCGAACCCGGGGCCTTTCACATGCAAAGCGAACGCTCTACCACTGAGCTACATCCCCTGTTATATTCTCTGACGAAATTAACGAATAGTTTGTTTGTTCGTTCGTTTCAGCCAAATGACGTCCACTGCCGAACAAAGGCCTCCCCCAAGGATTTTCACAATGACCGGTGTGGAGTCCTGCGCTGCCCGCATCTAGGCACCTCCCGCGACCTTCACCAAATCGTCGGTCCACCTAGTGGGGGGCCTGTCCAAACTACATCTTCTGGCCCGTCCGTGGTCGCCACTCTAGAACTTTTCTGCCTCATCTGTCATCCATCAGCTTTGCGAGCTATGTGCCCCGCCCACTGCCACTTGATTTTATCTATGTCGGTCACTTTGGTTACCTTTGGTTCTCATTTCTAACGCTAACTTTCAGATGCGATAGCCGCCACAAGCATAAACGCTATATTGAATGACGTAGCAGTCGAAACGAATTCGAACGACCTAATTGGTACGAATTGTGAAGAATTCGATACAATATTGATTGGAGACATGTTCTATGATGAAGAGTTCGCTAATGTCTTGTTTGGTTGGCTGCAGGGTGTAAGGGGAGAAGGAAAAACTGTAAGTTATAGTTTTGTTAACCCAACCCTTGGTATCCGTGGCTTTTTTAAAGATTGAATTGATTTTTGAAATGTATAATGGGCTTTAGAAATTATGTAGTTATAAAATATAAATAAATAAGGCAATTTGCTTTTATTTTGCACATGTTTTTGACCCTCTTTTTCATTGAATTTTTCTGAAATTCAATTCTTAATTAAATTAACTTTAATGTAGGTAGTTTTACCTACCCATTTTGATTTATTTATAGGGGTTTCAAAAGTTAAATGTGTAGTAACTACTAGGTATGCTAAATAATTATTGTTCCAGGGGAAATGCACGAAAATAAATTACAATCATATCCTAGCTAGGTACATATTTACTCATAAATATTTCTTGTCATATTCCAGATACTGATTGGAGATCCAGGCCGCCATGGATTGACTAAGAAAAGACGACAGCACATTGAGTTGATAGCTAAATACAATTTGCCCCCCGAAAGCTGCATAGAAAACCACGGGTTCATAGAAACATCGCTTTGGAAACTCAAATAAAAAGACTTTTTGTACTTAAAATGTTTATTTATAAAAATACAACAAACTACAATTTAAATTGAGACCCAAAATATATTTTTCTATTCGTTGTTATATCGTTGAACTTTGTGATTGAACACAAAATGTTTTGGAATGTTTAGAAAATATTAATGGTAAGTAATTTTATGTTTAAAATATAATAAAATTTTATGTTTTTACAAAATCTATTAGTAAACAGTACAAGTATTTACATGTATAAAAATATAGCAATACTTAAGCTAATAATTAATTTAAATTCAGGTAAAGTACACTTAAGAAAATAAGTAGGTATTAAGGTAAATTAAGATTAAATTGTAGATTTTGAATACTTTTCGAACAGTCGATGGAAATTAATTTTAAAAGGCACAAAGTGGCATTTAAATTTTTTAATAATTTATTATTGAATTTGCTTGCAAACAAACATCATCTGTAAGACATTTGAGAATCCTTAAAAACGCCATCTAGTTTTATCTGATGTACTTCATTCACAAATAATTTTGCTCAGCGCCATCTAGCAGAGAATAGTAGAAGTCTCTTCTACCTGTAACATATGTACTTTGAAACGATGAGCGCCATCTAACGGGGAGTAGTCGAACTGTCTTCTTAGTTTATTTTCAGTGAAACAAAAAATTCTACAACTGATAGTTATGCATAGTGTTTGCATAAATCCCGTGTTTGGATCTGGCCGTTCTGCCAGAGTAGTGGGAATAAGTGTCCATATCCATAGGCGCGTGGGGATGCATTATCAGAACGGGCTGCAGGGCGAGAGACTTGCGAGAACCCGACACAGATGTCGCGTCGGTCACGTAAGCGTTGTTAACTTCGCCTGTAAAGAAAAACAAATTCCAAATTAGAATTAGCAAGCAAATTAATTATTTGTTTGTTGAGAATTAGCTAGATAAATGGTTATAAAGTAACTTTTCTGGCATTTATTTGATCTGATTCTTAATTTTAAAGTTACAGTCGCCAACGTCCATACCACGTTGAAAACACCGGTTCTCGTCCGATCACCGAAGTTAAGCAACGTCGGGCGCGGTCAGTACTTGGATGGGTGACCGCCTGGGAACACCGCGTGATGTTGGCTTTTTGCTACTTTTTCTAGCTAACTATCATTGATTTACTTTTAGCAAAAGGTATTTAATAAGCAGTTAAAATAAGTGCCTATTTAGGTATTTAGCGCGACTTTTACGACGCAACAACAACGTGCAAATCCAACACAATTCGCTGCCATCCTGCGAAGAATGTAAATTGACACTGTTTAAGTGCACCTTTGTCACATCCCAATATGACCTTTACCGCCTTGTTTTAAAGACTAAACTCGCGTTGAATGCCCTTAAACCTAAAGAATGCACAATGAACGATTTGCCACTTTTCCAGAAGCGAGGATTCCAATGGCTACCTTTTATGGACCTTATTGCCTGGTAATAAATGTTGTTTTACAATCGATGGGTCTGTGCCTGCCTGCGTATGCGATTCTGACCGTTAGCATATTCATAGGGAGTGGCTGAGATGTTTTGTCGATGTCATTGGAGTAACTTGGAGAAAATTGGTGTCATTCTGTTAAGAATGACACCAATTTTCTTTATAAGTAGGTAGTGATGAACTCATAATAAGTAATTTATTACCTAACTTAGAGTAAAGTAGGTACATAAGAAGTACCTACAGTTAATTAGCAAAGTAGTGTGATGAGAAGAGACCAAAAACAAACGTCCAACCACATAAGTACTAATAGTAAGCGAATACGGCTTTCATTGATCGTTCTTTGAATCATGAATTACTAGGCTTAGTTTTTTGTATTATTATTATTCGATATCCAAAATTAAATAATGTCCCCTTAATAACTCAAAATCTATGGGAAATGGGAATGGGAAAACTAGTCAAGTCCAGTCTTTAGAACAGCATTGAATTCCTCACTTCCTTTGCCAGTCGTCAACCACGCATTTTCACTTATATTTTTGATGGGATTTGATTACCATGGCCTGATGGCTGATTACGTACCAAGACAATCATGTTACCAATAGATTAGGTCATCAGTCCACGCTATAATTCGCTCTATAAATAGCAAAAGTAAAACCTACTCACTTGTCATGGCGTTGCGCAACTAAGCATGTAGGGCGGATGTTTCCGCCCCAGTTGCCTACAAGCTAGGGCTGTCTTTAGCTAGATACAGTCCTTGGCAATAATCGCCAACCCGCTGGATAGACGGCATCATAAAGGCTACTGAGTCCACCATCCCACCATGGTCCAGTGTATTCGCGACGCCTCTAAACGGCAGAAATTGAAGCACATCGCAAGGAGAGCTACCCTCAGCGCAACCGCGACCACTCTGACAAGAGTGCCCAACTAAGAAGAAGTCCTGGCACGGGTCTTAAGGGATGCTGATGCTGATCAACCATTCGCAAATGTTTTGAGCAGACCGTGTTTAAAATCAGCATTAGTACAGCACAACAGTAACTGGTATTCAAATGTTATTGTTATCATTTTTTGAGAGCGGACAAGTTGCCTCGATCGCGTTCTTGGACATTATGCAAAAAATTCATAAATTCGTATAATGCGAAAGTTACTCTTTTTGAACCACTGAGCCGATCTTGATAATGTCTCAAATTCTCAATCATAGTCACAAACATTATCATCCAGCTGTTTTTCAAAAGGGGCGCCTGACATGAATGCGTTAAAAAGTATTTATTAATATGACAACTTATGACGCGGGCAAAACCGCGGGCTATAAGCTTTAAGTATTTAGGCAATTTGGCTCTTTGACACGTTTCTATATAATTTCACAGGACATTAATCCTGCCAATTATTTCAACCCTGCGCACCTAAATATAGAGTTGTATATGACGCCGCGTGCGCAGCTGCGGTTTCACTGGGCCATTCGGAATCATAACGCGTGAACTTTGTAAAAGTGAAATGATGACGACATCATGCAAATGCTCACACAATTGATGGCTCAATTTGGGGGCAATTTGGATGAATGAGGAGTTTTGAAATTGCTGGCGAAACGCTTTCAAAGTTACGGAAAATTGCCATGATTTTCCAAAAAGTTGATTGTGCTGAAATGCAGAGTTGTGAGTGACATCATCATTTCAGCCAAGCTGTCCACAGTTATACAAGTCTTGTGGAATCCAAGGGAGTAGAAAGGGACCCTTGATGGTGACTAAGGGATAAATAAATATGTAAACATCAGGCCTCTCTAACTTTGTTCAGTATAGGGATATTAATAAGGCAAAATCCTCCGTTTATCTAAGAGAAATAGGGAAGCCTGCTCCTGCAGTTAACAATCTGATATTCCTTGCTTCGTTTACTACAGTGAAAATCAATACCCAAAACTTCACCCGGAAGATCGCTACTTTTTTTTGAAGTCGGTTAAAAAGTAAAAAGCATGGCATGGTTTGATGTGACCAAATATAAACTGAATGCCAATGTATTACGAGTACGTAGTACGTACTTATACTGCTGTACGTTCTGCTTCTTCTCAGCACTGGGCCATTTACTGTCCCGAAGCAGTGGCAGGATTAACACTGGGACTTTTTAAAAAGCCTACTTGCAAAAATAAAATAAATGTTTTATAGGGCTGGTGATGATAATCAACCATCGATCAATGTGAGACCTAACCATTAACTTCCATCTTCTGTACCACATTTAAAGCAAATAAATGATGATTCTGATTCTGAAGCATACCTTTGTAAAGCGAAGGCGGCGGGTACCCGCTGTCAGGCTGGAGCCTCACGTGCCTGGTGGCCAGGATGAAGGCCAACGCCGCCAGCACCACGCCGTCTAAGCAGCCAATGATGGCCAGGATATACGCCCAGCGCACGTGGCAGCGCCCTGGAAACATGTGATGTTATGTTTGCTAAAGCGTACCATAATAGTAGGGTTCTTCATTTCAATCAAAAGAAGTCCACTTCTGGACAAAGGCCCGGTCGCAGGCTCAAGGATTTCCACAGAGACCGGTCTTGCCCCGCTTGCTTTTCTGTCACAACGGGTAACAAGTTCCACGAGCTGCCCATGTGCTTATTCGTTTTGGATTACCTACGTGTCTTCAAAAAGAACCCTAGAAAAAAACCATTATAACTAAGTATATGTAGGTATAAGATACTCGTATCTTTGTTTTTCGTCCGTGTAAACTAAAATTGAGACGAATACTATTTACTTGCTTGAAACAGAAAAATTATGCTTTTATGGTCTTCACAATAAAAATATCATGGAATTTAACTAAATAATGCATGCAGCATTAATTTTGACACCATTAAAATTTCCGTCAGTAAAATCAATACTTACTAATTAAATTCTATTCGTTAATGAAATTGGCAATATCAAAGCTCTACAGAAGAGTAATGGAAAAATCTGAAAATCGTTACTTTGTAATTCAGACTTTTTATTAACGAGTCGGGGAAATCTAGTTGATTGATTGAGCCTAAGTAGTTGACTACACTGTCTTGGCAATTTTTCAGGTTAGTGTGGTGTGCAATGAAAAGTATTGTAATCTATGTTATACTACCACATACCTATGTTATACTGATCTGCAGTGGGCCCGCAGGTCTCTTGGACGGACGTCTCGTTCCACGCCGCGGGGTAGACTGCTACCCCGGCTACCATGCACACCGCTGTAACAATACAAATATCAAATTAGAGTTATAATATAAAAAACGGCAAACTGAAGGTTCGGCCAAACCAAGGCGATTACAGGCGATCAGCCGGCGTACTTAAATGCATTGATCGCCATCGCTGCACGCCACCTGATCGTGTGTGATCGCGTTGGTTTGTCCGAACCTTAACGCGATCAGCCAGCCTGTGTGCGCGATGGCGATCCTACTGATATCTACTGACAGCCATCGCCATCGTGCACGCGGGTTGCACGCGTTGGTTTGGCCGAACCTTAAGATAATCTTTTACTTTTTAGAGAGCACGAAACAGCGTCAGTTACACCACCTTAACATTAACTGTAACTTTAACCGGTGTTTTGGAATGGAGTTTGACAGACTTTGACGTTTGTTATAGTTTAAGTAAGATAAAGATGGTGCAAGTTGTGTAACCTAGGCTAAGGCGCGTGCCTTTGTCCGAAACGATGGTCAGATCGGAATCTACAATCAAAACTTATTGATTGTTTATTGAACTTTATGTACCTACACCCAAACCCTTTCTCTCTTGCTTAATATCGTAACGTAATGTCAAAAAATAAGTAGAATGAATAAAGCCTATAGCCATTTTTAATTGTAAATGCAAATCCACCGATCAGCATATCAAAAGCGAGGAAAGTCGCTCTACGGCCGATGGAAAGCCTTAATAATCACAATTTCTCTGCATCTGGGCCGATGAAGGGAAACTCGATTCTTTCGATACGATACAGTGAATCTGGTAAATTGGAGACGATTTATAATACTTGATGATCTAGAACAACAATTACAGATAAATAATATTCACAGAATGCCGACTTCGCACAATTTTGCGGTCTTTGAGCCTTTATCAAAGAATTTCTGCGTGTGTCACTTTCGGAGAAACTTCTATTCGCTGTTATTTATAAATTTTACTTTTTATTAATATTTAAAACTCGTGTACAGACTCTGGTAGGTACTTGATAAGCAATAAGCACATTTTATTGTGAGTGCGAATACAAGAAAATGGAAATCAGATTTTTTGTGTAAGGTAAGACATTCAAAATCTACTGAAAACTCAGTGATTCCAATTATTTCCAACATTAGGTAACTTTTCTAGTAGCTATAGACTTCACTAAAGAATCCTTGCAAATACACGTATTACCTACTCATTTTGATGGTTAAGAAGAGATTTGACCACAGAAATAATCTAAAGATATTTATTGTTGCCTTTTGGCTTTCAGTACGCTGCTATGCTATGAAAATCCTTATTAGCTAAAGTTCATCAATTTCCTCACAGTGAATTTAATTTCTTAAAATGTACCTATTTTGATGATGTCATAAAACACCTTAGCAGTGAACTACCCTTTACCGTGAAGATGTAAATGTCATAAAACATTATCTTAGTTATTTATTTAATAAAAGTTCATGGCTAAATTGTTCAACGAATCAATTGTATGATATTATAAACAACCTGGCTAATAATACCAACAACTATCAACATTTTGACTTGCTAGCCTTCACTAGCTCGTATAAATCCAGTCTAAAACAAAAGATTAAAGAGTACGACTTCCGAAATTGTGCAATTTGCTTTGTTTCAGCTCGTGCCTTTTTCTGTATTGGCAGTCTAGCTCATTGTTTGGTTGTTCTGTCCCTATTGTCAAGAGTTCCACCTGTAGTCCTTGATCCGAAGTGCACAATGCAAGAGCACAAGTTAGATAAACAATGAAGTCTATCTGCGCGTGCGCAATTTTGTATGAATAGGTTACGCGCACTAGGTTTGTAATTAGGTAGGCGATTTTCTGTGCTAGGGAAGACTAGGTTCTAGGATTATACTAGATTACTATGGACGGCTATCAGTGGACCAGCAATTATTCAAGATTGATCATTATAAGAAATAAGTACTGTCTTTAGTTATCTTTCGTTGCATCGCAAATTCTTCTGTGACTGTGAAATTGATAAATTGGCTTTTTAAAGGGACATTCCTCAAAGATTCAAGTTGGCTATGGCACTAATGTCGTGAACTTGTGACCTACATTTTGAAATAACTTGAAAAAATCAAATTGCGTAAGTTTTTACAACCCACTCGATATAGGAAGATCAAATCACAATTTTCTTAAAATTAGCAACCAAATGTTTAAAAGAAATCATAAAGTTTTTCATAAATTATCCAATATCCAACGGACAGGTTTTTTGCAATCACAATATCAGCCTTCCGATCATATCTTGTAGTTAACCAAGCAGAGATATCAATCAAAACAGCTCGAGAGTCAAACAAAGTAATTACAAATAAGTAAACTTTCAAGTAATTACTTGTAACGAAGCAATCGACTGGAGAAACTCTAGCTTTTCCCGATTAACTTTAAGTCAAGCTTTCTCAATCACAACTCACTTTCGTTAAAATAACAAGCTATTAGCATTAAAAATCCAAACTTTAAAATGTTTATAGGTTCAATTTTGTAATTGATTTAAATTACGTGAATTCTTAATAATGTGTGAAAATACTTCATTAAAGGCAAAGTTTAAAATGTCTGTGATTTGTAAAAAAAACTCCTTTGTTTCTATTACCTCATAATAATGTCATCAAGTTGAAAACAAAAACACTCGATTGATTACGTCACTTTTCAGATCGATTACGTGTAAAATGTAAGCATTATTTAAGTANTGTACTTTGATGATGTATAATCACCTTGGTGGTGAACCTCCCACCGCGTGAAGATGTAAACTAACTTATTTATTTATAGATGATAAAACCAAGCAATTCATGGTCAAATCGTTGAACGAATCAATTGTATGATATAAACAACCTGACTATTAATATAATACCCACAATTATCAACATTTTGACTTGCTAGCCTTCACTAGCTCGAATAAATCCAGTCTGGTAAAACAAAAGATTAAAGAGTACAACTTCCTAAATTGTGCAATTTGCTTTGTTTCAGCTCGTGCCTTTTTCTGTATTGGCAGTCTAACTCATTGTTTGGTTGTTCTGTCCCTATTGTCAAGAGTTCCACCTGTAGTCCTTGATCCGAAGTGCACAATGCAAGAGCACAAGTTATATAAACAATGAAGTCTATCTGCGCGTGCGCAATTTTGTATGAATAGGTTGTGGAATAGGTTACGCGCATTACCCTTTGTAATTAGGTAGGCCATTTTCTGTGGTAGGGAAGACCAGGTTCTAGGATTATACTTGATTACTACGGACGGCTATCAGTGGACAAGCAATTATTCAAGATTGATCATTATAAGAATTAAGTACTGTCTTAATTTATCTTTCGTTGCATCGCAAACTCTTCTGTGACTGTAAAATTGATAAATTGGCTTTTTAAAGGAACATTTCTCAAAAATTCAAGTTTGCGATGGCACTGGTGTCGTGAACTTGTGACCTAAATTTTGAAATAACTTGAAAAAATTGAATTGCCTAAGTTTGTTCAGCCTATCCGATATAAGAGAATCAAATCACAATTTTCTTAAAATTAGCAACCAAATCGTTAAAAGAAATCATAAAGTTTTTCATAAATTATCCAACATCCAACGGACAGGTTTTTTGCAATCACAATATCAGACTTCCGATCATAATAATTATAGTACCTACGAGATATCTATCAAAACAGCTCGAGAGTCAAACAAAGTAATTACAAATAAGTAAACTTTCAAGTAATTACTTGTAACGAAGCAATCGACTGGAGAAACTCTAGCTTTTCCCGATTAACTTAAGTCAAGCTTTCTCAATCACAGCTCACTTTCGTAACAATAACAAGCTATTAGCATTAAAAAATCCACACTTTAAAATGTTTATAGGTTCAATTTTGTAATTGATATAAATTACGTGAATTCTCAATGTTAATAATGTGTGAAAATACTTCATTATAGGCAAAGTTTAAAATGTCTGTGATTGTAAAAAAACCTGACTCCTTTGTTTCTATTACCTCATAATAATGTCATCAAGTTGAAAACAAAAACACTCGATTGATTACGACACTTTTCAGATTGATTACGTGTAAAATGTATTAATTGGTAAGCATTATTTAAGTATTTTAATTGGTTACAATTACCTACAAGTTTTTAATATTGATAAGTTACGAATTATTAATCTCTTGTCAAATCAAATTCAATTTAATTATCAATTAACTTAATTACTTAATTTGTTTCAATGACCAATAGTTTGACAGTCATCAACCAACTCACTAAGGGATACAAACAAAAAACCAGTATCCCTTATAGAAACCCACACTTCTGTCGACTCGATTATCAATGCATTGCTGAAGATGGACTCTTCTGTTCCCATGAAATGCATTAATAATGTGGCAGAACGAAGTCAATAAAGGACATAATGACCATTCTCGTTTGTAGGCCCAAAACACATAGGGTAAAGTCATTCATTTTGCCAGTCATTGGACACTTAGAAAGTTATTGGGCAGTTATTTACTGAATTAAAAATAGCATTTCTATTTCAACAACTGAGAGATTCCGAGTGATGGAGATAAAAGGGCGTTTTTTTAAGGAATATTCATTGTATTTGAAGGAATATTCATTTTAAGAAAATTCAAGGGTTGTTTTGTCCAATGAATGGCAGCGTCCAATGACTGTCGGTTTACCCTACCTACCACAAACAAGAGTAGGGTTACAGGGGGCACAGTGACACACGGGGTACAGTAAAACAAGTTTAATATTTCTACCTCTTTTTATCAATTTATTTTTACTGGCCACACTGCTTTATTAAGCGTTCGCACTGCCATCTTGGTGCAGTTGTCTTTTCTCAATTTGAAAGCTGCCTGTTGAATTCTTGCAAAAAAACTGATTTTTGAAAGTAATTCGTATCTTTTTTCACGAAAAAGATTTCGATTTTATTAGTACACTGTTTACCAAAGGTATGTATGGCTATTTTTTTAATAATTCTTGCATATTTCTTGTAATATTGACATCAGACGAAGGCCGGTGTTTATAACCTAAAGAATGTTATATGTTTTTGTGTTATTGAAGGGGGTCATGGGGTACAGTGAAACGGGGCA